CGTAGGACTGCGACGGCGGCGACGGCGTCCCGCGCGCGCGGCCCTTGGCGGCCCTTACTACTAGATGAGGTAGGCGCCCGTCGCGTCGCGCGCCGCGGCTTCCGGCGCGCCCGGCGCGGCCCCGGGCGGGCGGGCCGGCGGCGTCTCCCCCGGGAAGTTGGCGGCCGCGGCGTAGAAGGACGGGAGGTTGGCGAAGGTGAACGCGTCGACCGCGCGGCCAGCGGCGTCCTCGTCGTCGAAGGTGCCGAGGTGCTCCGTGCCGCCGTCGCCGCCGTGGCGGATGAGGCGCCGCACGGAGGCGACCCACTTGCCCTGGCTGTGGAGCGTGTGGCCCGGGCGCCACTTGACGCCGTAGTGGCGCGACTCGCGTTTCTCCGGCGGCGCGCGCGGCGGCCGCGCGGCCTCCGCCGCGCGCGCGGCCGCGAGGTCACCGGGCGTCGGGAAGTTGCGCCGGTGGTGCAGGTAGGGGTGGGACGCGGCGATGGCCGCGTCGACGGCGACGGCCGCGTCGACCTCCGACTCCCAGTAGCCGATGTAGTCGACGGCGCCGTCGCCGCCGTAAGTCGTGTAGTTGCGGAGCTTCGCGAGCCACTTGCTGCACTGGCGGTAGACGCCGTAGAACTCGCTGGACCGCGGCGGCTTCGTCGCGAGCGTGCCGTCGTCGCGGACCTCGTTCGTCCGCCGCGCGGCCGCGAGGCCGTGGTACGCGACGGCGTCGTTGTACGCGAGCGCGGCCGCCTCGGCCGTCGCGAAGGTGCCGACGTAGAAGGGCGCCTCGTTGGCGAGGCGGACCGTGGCCTGCCACGCGTGCGGCCCGCCCGCCGCCGCGTTCGCGACCTGCGTGGAAATAAAAAATTCGGCTGATTTTGGGACGAATCGAAGCACGGCCGAAGAGCCCGGTTCAATCACGCGCACGTTCAAGTCGGGTTGAAGATTTCCACGCGGTTCCCGACGCGCGTCACGCCGTAGTAGTCGGACGACGACTCCGAGACCTCGCGCCGCCGGCCGCGGGGCAGGAAGGGCGCCGGCGGCTGGCTCGCCGCGGGCCGCTCGCCGGCGGCGAAGAGGTCGAAGAGGTCGAGCGTCGTGGCGTGGATCCGCGGGCCGCCGGCGCCGGCGCCGTGGCGCGCGAGGCGCTCGATGGCCGCCGCCAGGGCGGCGTCGGCGGCGGGATCGTCCCCGGCGGCGGGCCCATCTTCCGGATGCGGGAGCGGCGGGGGCACGGCGGCGGCGACGCGCGGGGGGACGGCGTGGGCGACGATCGCGGGGGTCTCCATCGCGTCGGGTCGAGTCGGGGGCGTGAGAATTTTGTGGATATTCGCCGAAAGCCGAGCCGAGCCTCGAGTAGGAGCCGAACGCGCCCGCCGCCCGCGCCGACGCCCGCCATGTATTACGTGTTCTTCGGCGAGTCCCCGCCGCCGCCCGTCGCCGAAGCGGCCTGCGACGTCGTCCCCGACCTGGCGGCCTACGCCCTCGCCCCGCTGAGCCTCGGCGCCGCGCTCGCCGGCGTCGCCGCGGTCCTCGCCCTCCGCTGGGTCTACGCCAAGGCGCGCGGGGCCTTCGCCGACGCCTGCGGCCGCTGCTTCGACGAGGTCGACGCGGACGGGAGCGGCGCCGTCGACGGCGACGAGTTGTACGTCGCGGTGCTCCTCAGTTACCTCGCGCTCAACCGCGGCGCGCCGCGTGGACATCAAACCTTCAATATGACTTCAATGTGAGCAAAATTGAACGATTCGGACCAGATGTTTCGGCCGTGCTTCGAGAACTCGACGAGAGCGATCGGTTCGTCCAAAAATCAGCCGAATCGACGTCGATGTGGCCGAGCTGGAGAATGTCGAAGTTCGGCCCCGACGTCCCGGCTCACCGGTCGAGTTCCACGCAGGCGGCACGCGCCTCGTCGCCGCCGTCAAGCCGCCGCCGCGCGCCGCCGTCGACGCCATGCTCGCGGCGACGGGCTCCGCGGAGCTCTCGCGGGACCAGTTCCAGGCCATGATGCGGACGTTGGCCAGGGACGGCGCGAGCCGCCTCGCGGCGACGGTCTCCGTCGCGCTCGTCCGCCCCCGCGTGGAAAGCAAATCTTCAACCCGACTTCGATGCGCGCGTATTCGAATGTTTTGACACATCCGCTGTGCTTCGAGAACTCGACGAGAGCGATCGATTCGTCCAAACATCAGCCGAATCGACTTCGATGTGGCCGAGCTAGAGCATGTCAAAGTTTGGTCGGGACGTCCCAAACCGGTGGTTGATTTCCACACAGGTCTGCCCGTCCCTCGCGCGGGCGCTCTGCGGCGCCGCGGGCGCCGCGCTCGCCGGCGTCGACGTCGGGCCCTGCGCGGCCGCGGCCGCCGCCGCCGCCGCGCCCGTCGCCGCGCCGGCCGTCGCCGCGGTCCTCGTCCTCGTCGCGCTGCCCGCGGCGCTCGACGCCATCGACGGCCTCGCCGCGCGCGACGCGCCGGGCCCGGCCGTCATCGTCATCGACGACGGCGAGGCCATGACGCCGACGACGCCGGAGCCGACGACGCCGCCGACGAAGCCCAAGACGCCCGACTCCGTCCGCGCCGCACGGTCGCCCGTGCGCTTCGCGCCGGACGTCAAGGGCGGCGAGGCGCCGCGCCGCGGCATCTTCCGCAAGATCTCGACGACGCGCTTCATCAAGCTGCCCAAGGCCAGCTCCAAGAAGCAGCTCTGACCGCGAACAGTTCGATGAGAGCTTCTAATATTTAGAGCGCGATCATATTGGAGGGGGGGGCTCGGGGGGGGTATTGTTTGAACCCGGTGAGAAAATCCGTGGTCATCGCGACGATCCGCGGAGAGCATCTTTCCCGGGTCGGGTCGCCTTCGGGCGCGGTCCGCGTCGGCTCAGAGGCGGTTGGCGGCGCGCGAGGCCGGGAGGTGGCGTTTGAGGCGGGAGAAGTCGCCGGGCGACGTGATCGTGGCGTCGTCGACGACGCGCCACTCGTCGACGTCGCGGGCCATCTTGTGGAAGCCGTAGTAGCTCAGCTGGCGGACGAAGGAGGCGAACATCTTCTTCGGGCCGTCGCCGTCGGCCGCGGGCGTCTTGAGCTTGAAGTACGCCGGCAGCACCCGCTCGCAGAAGGCCCGCTTGTCGAGGACGCGGAAGGACTGCGTCTCCGCGCGCCAGGCGACGACGAGCGCGTGGCGCGGCTCCTCGAGGATCTCGCGGAGCTTCGCGGGGAACTGCGCCGACTCTTTCGGGACGACCGGGACGTTCGCGCGGTTCTTCCCGGGCGTCGGCGGCCGCGGCGGCGCGACGGCCGGCGGCGGCGCGACGGCCGGCGGCGGCGCGACGGCCGGCGGCGGCGGCGCGGCCGGCGGCGAGACGGGCAGCGGCGGCGCGGGCGCGGGCGCGGGCGCCGCCGCGCGCGTCGCGGAACGGGTCGTCCGCGTCGACGGCGGGACCGCCGCGACGGCGCGGCGCTGCGGGACCGCCGCGACGGCGCGGCGCTTGGGCTCGGGCGGCGGCGGCGACGCGGACCGGCCGCGCCGCGAGCCCGGCGCGACGTCGTCCCCGCTCCGCGTCGGCGGCGCGGCGCCGGGCCGCGGCTCGTCGCAGACGTCGCACGTCGAGTCCAACGGCAGGTTCTTGAACGTGCACGCGACGCAGGACCACTTGGGCGCGGCCAGCGCGGCCGCCGGGCCGCCGCGGCCGCGATCGGCGCCGTCGGAACCGGCCGGGCTCACGGCGGGCGCCGCGGGCGCCTCGCGCGCGGCCCGGATGCCGCCGCCGCGGCCCGCGCCGCGGACGACGACGCGGCCGCGAGCGTCGAGCCTCGCGGTGAGGACGAGCGAGCCGGGCGCGCCCTCCGCGGGCGCGGCGGCGCGCTCCGCGGGCGCCGCGGCGCGCTCGGGCGCGGCGATGCGCTCGGCGGGCGCCACGGCGCGCTCGGCCGAGACGCCGCCGAGCGCGCGCTCCCAGGCGCGGCTCGAGGGCCGCATGACCGCGGCCGCGGCGTCGCAACGGTTCGCGAGCGAAAAGAAGTCGGACGCGGCGCCCGCGAACTTGGCCCAGGCGGGCTCGCGGGCCAAGGCCGCCTGGGCCGCGCCCGCCGTCGCCGCGAGCACCGCGGGGCTCGCGAGGGACCGGCCGCCGGCGCCGGCGACGGCCGCGACGCGGCGCGCGGCGCCGCGGACGACGGCCGCTTCCGCGATGTCCGCCGCGGCGCGCACGTAGGCGCCCGGGTCGCGCGACGGCGTGGCGCGGAGCACGTCGTCGGCGGCCGCGCGCTCGCGCGACGCCGCGGCCGCGCTCGCGGCGGCGACGGGGCAGCGGCCCGGCGGGCCCCACAGCGGAAGCGGAACCGCTTCCGCCGGAAGCGTCCACGCCGGCGCCGCCGCGCCGCCGAGCCACGTCGCGGCCATGCGGACGACGACGTCGCCGAGGATCGCGGGGCCGACGGCGACGACGGCGAGCGAAACGCCGCCGACGTCGAGGGCCGCCGCGGCGCAGACCGCGGCGGCGGCGACGTCGTCGAGCGCCGCGGCGAACGCGTCGTACGCGACCGACGCCTCGAGGGCGGCGACGACGCCGCCGTCGACGCGCGGCGCGGCGCCGGCGGCGGCGAACGACGACCCCGGCGCGCCCGGGCCGTCGCCCCCGGGGCCCCGCGAGCCGGGTCCGCCGTCGGCGGTCGACGCGATCGAGCCGCCGCCGCGGCCGGCCGGCGCACGCATGAGGGCGGCAAGCGTCGAGTATGCCTCGTCCGCGAGGGACACCCGGCGGACCGACGCCGCGGATTCGCCGGGCCCCGGCGCCCCAAAGCCGGCGAACGGCAAATCATTCAAACTTTTCGACGCCATGTGTGGGAGGGTTTTGGGAGAGCGATGTTTTTGATGTGGATGAAGCGCGAGCTCGAAGGAAGAGTCGGTGTGATCGACGGGGCAAGGCCTTTGAAATCGCCTGCGCGAGAGCGTTCGAGTATATGAGTTGTGTGTCGGGCTTGCGATTGCTTTTGCGTTGATGATTTTATGAATTTTTGTGGTAATTTTGGGCGATTAGAACTGAATTGATAAGACTCAAGGAAGCTGCTCTTTTACGCATGGCTGTTGTGTCGACAGGCCCAGCCAACGAGAGACGACGCATGCCGGGGCGGTCCTGGGACGCGTCGCCGCCGCGACGTCGCTCGCTCGCGTCGGGCCCTCGCGCGGTGACCGGGGACCGTGGAGGCTCCGTGGACGCGCCACGTACAGGCGACGAGTGCCGGAGCCATAGATATACGGGTTGGCAACGCGCCGTGATGGGTGCCGTGTGCTGGAGCACCGCGCGGGCCGGCCGCGTGCGGCCGGCGGCGCGCGAAGCCTCGACGACCAAAAATTTATTGGCCGAGGCCTCGAACGAGTTTCGGAGTGCCCGCGCCCGCCCAAGGCAGGCGCGTAGGCGGGGTGCGTCGCCTAATGCGCTAGAGAGCGAGCACCATACCACAGCCCTCGACATCAGGGAGAGCCATGGGCCAGGAGCCGTCGAAACCGGCGGACGCGCTGGACCCGGGCCCGCGAAGCGACGCCGAGCTCGCGAGCGTCGTCAAAACGTACCGCGCGCGCGCCGCCGGCGACACACTGAGCGCCGAGGCCCTGGACGAGTGGCTCGGCCTGCCGACGAGCTTCTACGGCGTCGCGCGCGGCGGCGCGGCGGCCCTGACCCTGCCCGCCTTCGTCGCGTTCTGCGGCGCGGCGCTGCGCGGCGCGGCGAGCGCGCGCGCGGGGCACGTCGTCCGCGCGGGCCTCGGCGTCGACGAGCTCGTCGACGGAGCGACGGGCGACTCGCGGACCGCCCCGGCATGCGCCGTCGGTGCCTTCCTCGGCTGCTGCGCCGCGCTCTACGGCGTCCCGGGGAGCGACGTCGCGCCGCTCGCCGCGTCCCTGTTTCGCGCCGCGGCCGCGGACGTCGAGGCGTGCGGCTCGGATCGCGTCGCCGCGGGCGCCGTCGCGCGGTGGGCCGACCGCCACGCGCCGACGCTCGCCGACGCCTGGGCCGCCCACGTGCGCGGGCGCCTCGCCGGCGGCGCGGCGCCGCGCGCCGCGCCCGCGCTCGCGGGCGCGAGCGACGCGCTCGACGGCGCGGCTCTCTTAGCTCTCGGCATGGCGAGCCCGCGCTGCGCCGGCGCGACGCTGCGGCGCCTCTACGCGTCCGGCACGGACGGCCTGAGCTTCTTTCGTCTCTGCGACCTCATCCTGGGCTGGGCGGGGCCGTCGCTGCTGGTCGTCCGCGCGACGGGCGGCCAGGTCTTCGGCGCGCTGCTCGACGAGCCGTGGCGCGACGCCTTCGACTTCTACGGCGGCTCGGGCTGCCTCGTGCTGGGGCTCGCGCCGGTGTACGTGTGCTGCCGGCCGCGCCTCGGGTCGAACCGCCAGTTCCAGTACCTGAACACGAAGGGGTCCGCGGCGAAGGTCAAGGGGCTCTGCGTCGGCTCCGGCGGGTCGCCGGCGTCCGCGCGCCTCCGCGTCCCCGACGCGCTCGCCGACGCGGCCGTCTACGTCCGCGAAGCCTGCCTCGCCTTCGAGGCCGGCGACGTCGCCGGCGGCGCGGCCGCGGCCGACGGCGGCGCCGTCGACGTCGCCGCGCTCGAGGTCTGGGGCGTCGGCGACGCCGACGCGCTCGCCGCCGCCGACGCGGGCCGCGCCGCGAACCGCGAGGACCGCGCGGCCTTCGTCCAGCGCACGCGCCAGGTCGACAAGGCCAAGTTCCTCGACAGCGCCTTCGACCGGGAGCACCTCCTCGGCAAGACCTTCGCGGGGGGCTCCGCGGGCGCGAATCGATAACGCTTGTTACCGCCGCGCGCGCCGCCGCGCCCGTTTCCGCGCGAGCGCGTCGCGGATCGTCGGCCGCCGCGGCGCGTCGTCGTCCGGCGCGGCGTCGCCGCCGCCGCGCGCCTCGCAGCCGAGGAGCTCGAGGCAGTCGAAGAAGGCCGCGTCGCCGAGGAGGTCCAGGGGCCCCGGCGCCGCGCCGGGCGCGCGGAAGACGACGTCGTCGAGGGCCGCGGCCGCCGCGGGCGCCGCGGCCGGCGGCGCCGCGTCCGCCGGCGGCGCGGCCGCCGCGAGGTCCGCGGGCCAGGCGCAGCCCGGCGGCGGGAACGCGGCGCAGGCGCCGCGCGTCGCCTCCGGGTCCGGCGCGTCGCCGGACGTCGGGTCGCCTGTGCCGGAAACAACCAGTGGAACGCCCCGTCGAGCAAAAACTTCGAACCTCTCTAGCTCGGTCACATCGAAGTCGTTTCGGCTGATTTTTGGACGGACCGTTTTCTCTCGGCGAGTTCTTTTTAGACGATGAAAAAAGTATGTCGAATCCGTGCGAATACTTGAATATTGAAGTCGTGTTGCATAGTTTTGTTTCCTGCCCGTCGGGTCGCAGGCCCAGAAGTTGACCATGAACGTCACGCGGCGGCCCGGCGCGGAGCCGGCGCCGGGCAGCACGCCGTGGAGCGCGCGGCCGTCGAAGGCCAGGAGCCGGTTCGCCCGGGGCGCCGCGGCCCAGCACCGCGACGCCTCGGACCCGAAGGTCTGGTCCGTCACGAGCGTCGGGCCGCCCGCGGCGCCGTCGACGCAGAGCACCGTCGACACGAGCGGGTGCCGCGGCGCGTCGCCGGCCCTCAGCCCGGGCACGGAGTCGTAGTGGAGCTCGTGGCCGTGGCCGTGGCGCCGGCGGTGGGCCCAGAACTCGGCGTGCGTCGCCTTTTCCACCTCGGGGAATTCGCGTTCGACGGCCTCGTAGACGCGCCGGACGACGCCGAGGCTCGTGGGCAGCGCGACGCGGAAGCTAAAGAAGCCCACGCTCGGGCTCCCGTAGTCGTTCTCCGCGTAGTAGGCCGCGCCGTCGGCGAACGCGGACCGGAGCGCGGCGAGCGCCGACGCGGGGAGCAGCCCGTCCCAGACCCTGGGCGCGCCGGCCTCGCGGGCCGCGGGCCGCGTCGGGAGCCGGCCCGCGAGCGCGCGCGGCGAGAACGTCGCCGCGTAGCCGAGGTCGACCAGCAGCGCCGCGGCGCCGGGTGCGTCGCCGCGCTCGAGGAGGAAGCGGCAGAGGAGCTCGGAGGCGTCGCGGCGCGCGTCGCCGTCGCCGGCGGCGGCGGCGAGGCCCCGCCGGAGCAGGCGCTCGACGTCGGGCGCGTCCTCGAGCCACGCGAGGCGCGCGGCGAGCACCGCGGCCGGCGCGTTGCCGTCGGCGCCGTGCGACGCCTCGTAGGCCGCCGCGGCGGCCGGCGCGTCGGACGCCTCGAGGAGCCGGCCGCGCGCGAGCTCGACCTCGGCCCCGAGGCCGCTCGCGACGTCGCCGCCGGGCGCCAGCGCGAGCGCGCGCGCCGCGCCGTCGAGCAGCGCCAGGGCCGCCGCCTCGTCGCCGCCGTCGAGCGCACTCAGGGACCGCTCGTAGAGGCCCATGGCCGCGCGGGTCGGGTCCGCGGACGACGCGCGGCGCTTCTTGCCCATGAGTGGCGGCGCGGGTGTCGTGCGGCAAGCGGTTGCGCACGCAAGGCTGGCTCGGAGGCACTACTCACGCGCAAAAGCGCAAGGCATCACCCATCGCATCGCCATGTGTTGCATCGACGTTGCCTTCAACTTTGCCGTCAACATGGCCGAACCCTGGCATTCAGGAACAACGCAGCGGCCTTTTATACAATCGCCCCCTCACAGGTCGAAGTCGTCCGTGAGGTCGAGGACGAGCTTCCCCGCGGGCTCGTTCTCTTTGAACGCGGGCTTGCCGAGGTGCGGGCAGCCGGCGCAGCGGAACGCGTCGCCCTTGCCGCAGTTGCCGCAGGCCGACGTCGCCGGCGGCGGGGCGCCGGCCGCCGCCTTGGACGCGTTCTCCGCGTCCAGCGCCTCGCGGCGGCCGCAGCTGCAGTTCGCGCAGGGCGCCCGCGCCGAGCAGCCCGCGTCCGCGGACACCTCCGGCGGCGCGAGGCCGTCGGCGGCGAGGAGGTCGTCCTCGTCGACGAGGTCGTCGTCGCCGAGGCCCGCGAGCGCCGCCGGCGCCGCCGGCGCCGGCGCCGCGGCCGCGCCCCGTTTCTTCTTCAGGAGCGTCCGCTTCGCGGCCGGCCGCGCCGCGGCCTTGGTCGCGACGACGGACCGGCCCGCCGCGGCGCCGAGCGTGAAGCCGCCGACGAGCAGGGCCAGGCGGCTCGCCTCGAGGTCGCCGGGCGACGCGAAGGTGAGCTCCACGGCGGCGCCATCGGCCAGCATGAGCTTCCAGGACGCGACGCGCGCCGCGTCCGCGGGGCCGGGCGGCACGGCGACGACGCCGGAGACGGCGGGCGCCGGGGCGACGAGGGGTCGGGCGAGGGCGGCCATGGTGCGGGCTCGGCGGCAGGCGGCTCGAATTCACGCGCCGCGAAGGAGAGCTCTTGTCGCAGCCGGCGCCTCCGGCCCGCCAGGGCGGCCTCGACGCCCACTTCGACGCCCTCGAAGGCGTCCTGCGGCCGCTCCCGCTTCCGTCGCGCAAAATGGCCCCTAGTCCCCGCGCGCCGCGCCGCGCGCGGCCCGCAGGAGCGCCGCGACGCGCGCGCCGGGCGGGTCCGGGCAGAGGGACGCGGCTCCGCCGCCCGGGACCGCGTCCGCCCAGCGGCGCGAGAGCCCGAGCCAGGCGCCGCGGTGCGCGCCCCAGTCGACGTCGAGGCCCGCGACCTCGACGCCGCCGGCGGCGATGTCGTCGTTCTTGCAGTCGAAGAGGAACGTCGCGTTGCCGGCGAAGGGCGCGCGGACTCTGAGCGTCGCGTTCGCAAAGGCGACGCCCGACAGGAGGACGTGGTCGTTGCCCCGGAGCACGGCGGCGCTCGGCCAGTCGGCGACGACGCGCTCGACGCGGACGCCGCGCACG